AACTGCAGCAACTCAAGGAAGCTCTAGGGCTGCAGAATGGAAACATGGTTCGTAGCCTGCAAGAAGGAGGATGGAATTCTCCTCCAAGGACAAATGTGGTATTATGTACACCTGTTTGATTGTTACATCATTCTGTACATGTTCTGGTCAATTTAAGACACACCCGAACAAGAACAATAAAAGAATGTATCCCGGTGTATCCGGGTTTATCTCGCTTTCACAGATCGGTGATGAAGTATATACTATATCCAGTATCTGAGAAAACCCGAAAACCCTCTGACCGGCCACGCTTTGGCTTAAGCCTAGGCAAAGTCCATCCGTTTGACATCCCTGCTGCGTTTTCTGTTCCTGCAACAACCCCAACCAACAGACACCAACCAATTAAGATCAATTAAGCATGTAATGCAGCAAGGAAACAATCAACCTTGCCAGCTAGTTTAAAGCCTTTGAGTCCAAGCTTCTCAGTGATCCCCAAGTCGTCCACATTCTCTGCTGTGTTCCTCACACTGCGACGCCAGTCATCACAGCGACTGAAACATCCGGCCATGGACATCTGTCGTCTCCCCACTGGCCTACCCGGAGGACCCCAGTTGCAGAGCAACGGAAGAGGCCTGCTCAAAGAGATGAAAGGGGAATTTGGAGCTGGCAAAGATCTGGCGATCGATGTGTAACTACATATAAATAACATCGGGAAAAAAGAAGTGCGGCTTGCGCTTCCTGTTTTCTGGCTCATCTGAGAAGCAACATGGAGAGTTGATAGCAGCTGCTGGACAAACAATCATCAACCCCTTCTAGAAGTGTATTATATAATATTATATATATAGGAATCTAATCTTGTCAAGCACTTTCAATAACTTTGGAGAGGCCAACCCAGACCACCTACACCACAGTCTCTTTAAACTTCTACGGAGAAAGGGTTGTAGTGCAACTATCAGTCAGTGCTGACGCAAAGGAAAAAGGCCTTCCAGTCCGATCTCTTCTTCGCCTTCGGGCACACCAAACTCACCAAACGGTGCCATGTGTTTCTTACGGTCAGACCCTGCCACCTGGTGGGCCAGACCCTTATCATTTCGGATGGGACAAGAAAGCAACACCCAGATTCAGAGTAAGAAGTGAACTACAGAACTATCCTCACTTCATACAAGCACTCAACGAATTCAATGGAAATGCAAGGGAAGTACGACATCCACCTGATAGAGAAAGTACCTAAACACCATGTCTGGCACCTCCAACATGTTTCGCTGAGGTTCTCAGACAAAGGGAATGCCACCACGGCTGCAAAAACTTCGGGGGGCAAAGTGTCCACGCTACTGAGTATTGGCAACTCAGGATCATCCGGAACTCAACATGCGCGTGCATTTTGTGGAGAGTACCATGCATTTTTTGGAGAGAGCTAGTAGCTTCTAGCTACTCTTAGTAAGACGCCTTGTTACTAGTAGCGATGCTCTTGTTACTACTAGTAAGGCCCTTGCTACTAGTATCATATTGAGCCATACTTTGTAGTTCACCCATGTTGTTCGGTTTCCATGGTGCTGTCAATTGAATCTCTATCACACGCAGGGTCGACCCCGATCTCCCAGGATAAGCGTCAGCCGCTCCACGTAGAGTGCGGCGTAGTGATGGGCGTGAACTTGCATGCTCGTTTCACCCGAGATGATATTGCAGAACTCCTCTGTTGCAAAACATAGGGTGCTTGAAGCGACGACATGAAGGGGTTGATGGCATGTGGCAGGCGACGTTCAGGAGCATATGATTGTAATTGTAGGTTGCGCAACACTCGCACTGATGTGCTTTGAATCCACGTTGATCTTCTTCACGTGCTTCATAGCTTTTAGTTTTTACATGGTTTAACAACATCAAACTTGTGGAAGAGCCCCTTTTCCACGTCCCACAGGAATTGGGCACAAACCACCTCAAGAAGCACGGCAACTAGCACCATTCCGTCGTGGAGAATCCTTTAGATCGTCAGGATCACCACGATTGGACCACTTGAGTTTCGGGTTTGTTCTGGATCACAAGGCGAGTCATTGGTTTGTTGGGCTGCTTTAAGACCAACAAGATGAGGTAAAGTACCTGTTGGGGATTGTTGGGGTGCATTGGGGTGCCATCCAGCTATGCAAAAACTTCAGGTGGCGGAAAAAAGAACAACAACTCTCAGCCACTCTGAGTCTGTCTTGGCCAAAAGTGGCCATGGCCTTCCACCCCATGGCCCAGTCTCACCCCATCTCCGTCACGTTGATGGCCAAAACCTTGCAGAAACTGTGGCACATCAAATCACCTCGGACGGGTGGTCAAAATGATTTCTATGACGGATTTGGAACACACACACCAAATTGCATGTTGCGTTATATACCTTGTGGGCCATTGTGCTTCTTGTTGATCTTTGACGACTCATTAGTTGGGAAGCAACGCGCAACGGTGCAAGATTGAGCTCAACCAAAACTGTGGAGCTGTTTTGAAGGAGCTGAACCCAACTTCTGTTGATTTTCCAAGGTCACGTGCAAAAGAATGTTGCCGAAATACCGAGTATGTTATACCACGTGTTATACATTTTAGAAATTGTTATACATTATTGCACCACCTGACACTGACACACCATATAGTCCCCGGGTGGTGGAAGTTTGTCAAAAATGAGGAAAACACGATGAGATGAAATGAACACAATGCGTGACTGCGAAACCCACCTCAACCCAACCAACCTGAAATCTGGTGTGGGACATAGCTACCTACATTCACAAACTCAAGCAGGTACGTCCAGAGAGTGTCTCCTCCAAATATCACCGCAGTGCAAGGAGTGTCTTCGTTACAGTAAGTGGTCACTCACACACCCTCTCTATACAACTGTTCTCTTCGTAACTCCAGACTGAGTCTTAGCCTCTTTTAACCATGAAATACAGAATCCAGTCTAAATGCCCAACAGAATGACCTGAACAGGAGCTTCCCATTGTTCCCAGGTAGTTCTCAGTTCTGACAATGCACCTTAACTTGGCACCTGTCCATTAGGGGAATTGATCGCACTCGCCAGGTCTGACAAAGTCTTTCTGCTAATTCAAGGTGGAACAAATATACCAAAACACTACAAACACATTAAAGACACACACAGACTGCCTCCGTCTACGGCAAAGTACCTCAAAGGGACGTCCCCGTCTGCGCCGCTCCCTCTCCCTCCCCCACAGAACAGGTGAGGGCCGATGGAGTCCCAGGCGCCAACATGGGTCCAGGTGCTCCACAAGCACATCTCCGCAATCCAGGAATCGTCTCGCAAACGACAGAAGCTCTCATGGTCATTTGGATGATTTTGAGATGTGTCGAAAAATGTTCCGTGAAAACAACGAAAGCAGAAACACATGTGAGGTTTTCTGCAAACAGACTTTTTGTTGGGAACACATCACTTCCCCCCAAACTAGTCGCACATCGCTGACTCGTTTCGACTGACTCGTTTCGGAACGAACGCAACTTGCGGGTTCGGACGGGCGAGCTCGTTCCAACGTTTCGGGGGACGTGGTTTTCACTGATTGATATAGATTGATATAGGACATCTATTATCTATCATCTATCTAATCGAATCTATTCACCTCCCAGCTTGGGAGGTGTCATCTGGGGGACGTTCAGACAAGGAATCTTCTGGATGGGGTGCTGTGGCAACGCTTTAGGCTGAGGTGCTTGACGCAAATCTCTCGTGATCTCCACTCTGCAAATACAACATAGATCCATTGGCCACGAAATAGGAGTAGCTCGCAGTGTGCCCGCTGCAGAAAATCACCTTCACAAAAAAAAAGAACATGTTCATGCAAGGGCGAGGCAATCTACCACTGGATGCAGTAAACAAACCCTTGGGGTGCACGCTTACTGTGAAGTGCAAAGTCGTGCATATGTGTGAAGCCATAATAGTCCACATTCATAGGTAGTTCTCTGAGGAATTTGAGCTTCAGGATCAAGGCAAAGATTCCATGAGCTGGATCAGTCAAACCGTTGCGGTGTCGTTTAGGATCAATGCCCGCATTGAAGCGGTGCAATGGTGCTGGTGCTATGGCTATGATGCTGGGGGTGCGGTGGGTGAGAATTGGTGCAAAGCTGACTGTGGTGGCTTGAAACCCCTGAGAACCTTGAGTGGCATGAAGTTTTCGAGGGGGTCTCAGATCTGTGTGGGAGATGGCTTTCGAAATGGACTCATAGGCTTGTTGAGAGTTGGAGGCCATCGCTAGTAGGTTGCGTGTGCTTCTTTTCCAATTCTTTGGCCCAAATAAATGCGTCGCTTTGAATGTCTTTCTTTGTCACTGTCGTATGGCTCCTGGCATCAAGTTGTGAGCGTATCAATTTGATTTCATTCATTCTCAAAACTTGCAGCTGGAAGTGGCGCGAAGCCACTACAGCTGGCAGCCAAGCTACATCATCCTCTGCTACGTCATGCATCGATACGCCTTGACTTGCCAACGTCTGCAAAGTCTTGCCTCAGTGGGCACTTGCCTCTTCCTGATCATTCGGATGTGAGCAAACCACTGCAAGGAAACGCTGCAACGGAAAAACTCCAAATGAACGCTGAACGCTCGAATCTGGGGGATGGGGGATCAATCCTACATGGGCAAACCATGTTTGGGACATGATCTGATTGATCTGATTGAACATTACATGTCCACCTCGTCAATTTTGGAAAGAAAAAATGGTCCCTGAGAATTGAACCCGTGATCACTGGGTCTCAACTTCCTGTATAGTCCAGGATCGGCCCAGCAGCTAGCACTACGTGACGGCACGCAAAGCGCAAAAGCGGCTAGTATGTCAAGCTACTCTCCTGCAGGCTCAAATGCTTGTTTCGCAGCAAAGGCTTAAAGAATGCCATCTTCGACAGCTGCTGGCGGTATCGTGCCAAAAGCAGCTCCGCCTCGGTTCCGGGTCGCGTGCGCACGTGGCCACTGGGAATGGTTGGGATGAAGACCAGACTGGTCTCCTTGCCCCTCAAAGCTCCTTTGTTCCAAAGATTACCATAAGACTAAGTGCAGGGCCTGAAGGGACTTGGAGAGGTAGTCCAGTATGTACGGATCACCTGAATTCAATGCTCTTTCCTGAGATTGTCTTGAGGATCTGGGAAAATCAGGTGTTCCTTGATTCTACAACAAAGAAGCATGACAAAAAAAAAACAAAAAAATAAAAGCATTGCCAAACAGGGTGGCCCTGAACGGAGGGCAGTAAAACGAAGGAGTGCCTACTCGATTGGTCAGGGGCCACCCTGCTTTTTGTGGATCCAAATCGCTTGGTAGGTGTAGTGTAGGAAGCGAGTGACACGGCTGCCCAGGCCTTCTGGGATCTTGTTCAGTCGCAAGAATCGTCGGAGCAAGCCGAACTGCTGCGTCTGTTCCATGCGTTTGCTTTGCAAAGTGCTGACCAAAGAGGTCATTGAACTGATGATGGTTGAGAAGGTAATCAAGGACACCAGGGCAACAACGACACCTGGGTCGGTCATGTCACAACTGCTTGCGAGAACATGTGAGAACAACTACTGGTAAAAGAGTTTCTCTCAAAATGAATGAACATAGATGAGGGAACACTGTCAAATGGAAGAATTGATGATTTAAAGATTCTCCAAAATGCTGCAAGACCCTGCAATTTGTGGGTAGTTTTCTTTAATGATTGGTCCTTAAGTGTACGGAAGGGACTGGTGACTCTTAGTTGACATCATGACAGTCTAATATAGTTTGCTATTAGTGTGGAAGCCATCGCAAGTAAGGTGGAGGCCATCGCAAGTAGGGTGGAGGCCATCGCTTGCTTTTAGGGTGGAGGCCATCGCTAACATCCGTGGCACTGTAGAGCCCTTCCGGTTCGTTCACCGCTTCGATGTTCGTCCCTCCAATGCCCAACTGGGAGAAGGCCCACCGCAGGCTGTGTGTATACTTCACCTGAGACGTACATCATCCAGCAGTCCGATGGCCAGTTTGGGACTGGGTTACCAAAGAATTGTGTACAGCGAACCTAATGTTGTTTGTTTCACTTGTATGACTTTGGATTGAATCGTCACCCAGCATTGTGTGCACCCTGGAATGACCGTTGGGTCCGCGCTCCGGATAAACAGTACCTTCAGATTCCTATGCAAGGTCCAAGAACTTTGATGTCTGTCCTGCACTCTAATTATGAGTTGTTTAATGATCTTCAACTCTGCATCAATTCTTAGAGATGATCTCGTCTACAAACAGTGTGGCTTTCACTTCCAACATTGCTGGAGGGAGGGTACTTTGTGTTTGTATTCGTTGGGGGCCTTTGCCAGACTAGTGTCCATCTTTTTCTGTTGTTTACATAGTCAGGATATTTACTGTATTTCCATCGGTTTATATCAGCGACGCTAAGTGGTGGATCAGATTGGAAGTGGTCTAGATCAGCTATGTTTTCTTTTTTTTAAATGAAAAAATAGATAAATATAAACAACAAATGAAATGGATATTTAAAAAACATACATATTAAACAAAATTAAAAAATAAATAAATATAAAAAGACATGACATGAACATAAATAAAAATCTACAAAAATCGTTATAGATCTTTAAAATCTGTAAAAAAAAAGAAACTTAAAAACTCTCAAAATATCTCAAATCATCTCACAAGCCGGGGTTTCGTGGGAAAGGGTTTCGGAATTACAAAATAGTTTCCCAGGATCAAACTCTTAAAAAATCTTAAAAATCTTAAGAGTGCATATAACATGCAAAAATATGAAAAAAAATCTGAAAAAAATCATATAAAAAGATAGTTTAAAAAAACAACCAAAAAAACATAGAAATATAAACACAAACATGTGAAAACACTCTCGTGGTGAGCGGAATGGTCAGCTGTTGTCAGTTGCTGTCAATTGCGTGGCAAGTGTGTTCAAAATAGAAAGATTTTGTTGTTGTCACACATGATCAATTGTGTGGGCTAGTGTGTCAATGGGTTGCTGAAAATAGAAAAACATAGTTTAAAATCTTTAAAAAAAAAACATGTCTTTTTTATGTGGTTTAATGGTTTTTGTTTTTTTTGTTTGATTTTAAACTGTGTGTTTTTTCGATGTTTGCATGAAAAAACCATAGGAAACCTAACCCGGGCAGATCTGATCCACCACTTAGTCTCAGTGATTATAGCCTGGCAGGTCTAGTATCCACAGTTTTGCTTGCTGCTTCCTTCCGTCCCTCCTTCCTTTCTGCGGTGTTCTTCCTAGCTTCCTGCCTTCCTTATATCCTTCATTCCTCGTTCCTTCCTTCCTTACCACTTCACCATCACTCATTAGTGATTGCTACAGTATAGTGGAAACGTTTTCCTGTTGTTGAAGCTCCGAATCATCTTCATTTGCTCCACGCGCATCCAAGTAAGCTTCAATCTCCCCATAAGGGTTTTCTTTGCTCCTAGTAGCGAACATTGCTCCTAGTAGTAAGGCCAGGAGCCCCTAGTAGCGGCCTTGCTCCATTCGCAGCGATGCCCTTTGCTCCTAGTAGATCGACTGAACTTCTCACCTCTGTTTGCTACGCCGTGACATCCACTGACCCGTGACCCGTGCGCAACAAGTGCCCCCTCGTCTTCCAGGCACCGTAAAGGCAGCCGCCTCTGCCCGATATCTCGTCGTCCATGTCTCTGGTTCAGATGTCAAAGATCCAATACCTAACCAGCCACAAGCAACCACATGCTCCAGCAGCATCATCCCCGCGATCAAGAGCATCAAACCTGACACGCTCTAACAATCGAACCAACCGATGGCTGTCCCAGTTTGTTCCTTTGTTTCCACCAAAGGGTCGCTCAAAAGCCGGCGGCTCCACACCATGATTGGTTGAAAGTATAGGGAGTTCCCTCAAACCCAATCATGCAGACGGATTTCAACACCAGCTAGAATTGACTTATCCTATAAAGATCTGTAAAAGGAGTCGGACTGGTCTACCCTGGCCAGCCAAGATGGTGCATCAAGTTCAAGAAAGGTTGCGGAAAGGAAAGGGTTCTGGACAACCAAGCAAGACCGCACCAACAATGAATCATCATCTGACATCTGCAACGTCGAGCATTGTTCTCCCTCACTGGCTCCAGAAAACCAAGCCGTGGAATCCTCTTTAAAAGAAGTATATCAAACCTGCTGTTTCCATGGTATTTCATAGTACTTGTCTCCTTGCTTCAAAAGGCTCAAAAATGAGAAACTCATTCCCTAAATCGTACCAAATCCAGGGCACTGAATTGCGTGTAGGCCGTCTCCGACTCAAACTTGTCGCGCACGAAGGCCACGAAGCGCGTCAACTTCCCGAGACGGACGACCCGGAAGAGCCGCAGGAGCCGCAAGATCCGCGTCGATGCACGATCAGTCTCAGCACCAGAGAAGGTCAGGACGATGTCAATGGTCGTGACCAGAAAATCGGGCAGGAACCAAGACTTCCTGAGTCTGATGATGGTGAGGGTGAGTAAATCATGTTTCACACAATGATTGCAGCAAACCATTCGTGATTTCATTCCTATTCTGGAATATGTTCGCTTCATAAATTCTTGGACATGGCCCAAAGCTGCGCCACGGCGCTGGAGAAGCTCAAGCCCGACAAGCACAAACAAACACAATGCTACAGCTGCCCGAAGTGAGTAAATGAATGGCAATTCCATGCAATTCCCAACCCTGTGTCGGCAAACCTTCCCCCAAACACTCTACAAGCAGCACAGCACCCTTTCCCTCCCTTTTGCAAATGCAGCTGGCACTGGCCACCAGCCCTCAATACATCACTTGGGGATGGCTACTTGCATGTAGGCCTATTTACCAAGCAGCAACTTATCTGTGCTATGTGCAAGTACAGAGTTAGCATGGGGCACTGGCCATTAGCCCGACCTGCCCCAGTGCGCACCACGTCGAAAAAAAAAATCTGCAGCCAAGGCTGAAAATGAATTCCTGCAGCATGTGCCACTGCTTCAACCCATGTCACACACTCTTTGCCAAGTCTCAAGTAGTGGCGCGCAATGTCTCCATGATTCAGAATCAAGTTGCCTTTTTGCAGGTATCCAGTGAAGAAGGAGAGGACAACATCCATCGTCCAATATCCCACCTCTCACCATGACTCATCACAACTATCACAGGCGGCGGTTGATATGGTTCAAGGGGTGGTACTTGGGTGCTTGATTAGGGCAATCCAAGAGATCAAATTAAAATATAAGAAAACCCTCAGGGAGGCCATAACACCAGGGCGTTCCTTGGTTGCCTAAACCAATGTTGCGTCTTTGGGGATGTGCCTTTGTTACTAGTAGCGTCCTCTTGTTCCAAGTAGTAAGGCCAGGAGCGGCCCTAGCCCTAGTAGCGCTTGTATTGGTCCACTGAGTTTTTGCATAGGTCAGGCCGGTGAGGCTGAGCAAACATGATGTGCATACAAGCAAAAACTTCATTGTGGAAGACGGGGGTATGTCTATGCTAGATGCTGATAGGTGCAAAGTAAAGTAATTACGTGAAATTCCTGAGAACGTTGGTACGCGGGCGGGGTACCATGCCATGGTATAACTTATATGAATATACACAATCATTGAGTACGCGTTGGTTTTGGCAAAACCCTGATTTTCGGCCATGCCCGACCGTCACTGCACTGCTGCCCATGGCCACAGCAGGGAAATCCTCGAAGAAGCTGGCCTTGAGCTGTTGCTTTATCCAATGTAATTCTACCCCGAAAATGGTGCAAAGTGAAAGGCAAGACTGGGGATGTGTCAAGTGCATCTTGCTGCGGTGCTGCAGGTGGGTTCGCACTTTCTTCGAAACAATGTGTCAAATGCAGCTGCCAGTTGTGGGTGGAGGGTAAAGTACAGCAGGTGAATTTCTCTCCTCATCCCCGCATACCAGTTTGATCAACATTAATTGGGGAAAGACAGCCTATGTCTGCACCATTGAGTCTAGAACCAACCAGCGAACTATTTTGGGTTGGAAAGGAGAAACGAGTTTCGGGAACTGTCCTGCATGGACCGACGACCCATTATTCAAGAGGTGTTGGAGAGATTGCTATATAGGAACCTACCCTCTTTCAGGGTGTCCGTGTTGCTCAATGGGACAAACCATCATCATATGGGGTCGAAGATTGTCACATGGTTCTTCAAAATACACCAGCTGCGGAGTTGCGGATATTTTTCCCCATCGCAAACTGATTTTTTGAAACATGCTGTGTGCATGAGACTTGAGATCATTTTTGGCAAAACTCTCCCAAACAGCACCTTCCAACGCATCGTTTCAGCGTGGTTCACACCATTGAACCCATCACCTCCTTCCAATTCCTTCAATCAAAACCATGGACGATCACAAGCAACGCCGGAGCAGGAACTGAACCTTGAGACGTTTGAGTTGGTTCGGCGTGATAGCATACGCCTGCTGTGGCACTGGCGGTTGTCCAGCCTAAAAACATCTAAAAACCACAACTTCCTCGGCCAACACCCCAAAAAAAGGAACCGCCAGGCGGCATTGACGAAAAGCAAGGGCAAAGTGATGGCGTCCGTCAAAAGAAGAATGATGCCCAAGAAGTCCCAAACGTTCCACACGTCGGCCGTTCACACCAAGCCACCTCGGCCGCCTCCTCCACCGTTCTCTTCGTGATACGGGTCCCGTTTGTCTTCGCTCGATGGAGCCAACAGTCCAACGGAACCGAAGGCAAGGGAACGGCCTCGGTCACACAGGTCCGGTATGTACGTGATATGTATATATAACTATACACATGAATATGATGCTATCTTGAAAAATCTAACAATAAAAACAAAAGCGCAACAAGTTGTTTAGGTGACCAAACAACAGGAGACTCAAGTATATACTGAATTGTTTGTCCAAACAGTCTCACTTTGCAGAAACACTCGGCATCTGTATCAATTGTTTGGCTGCTTAGGGAAGGGCGGTGCTGTAAAGTGCAAGGTTGCGGAGACCAAGCTGCTTTGAGAAGCTTTATTTTGCTATGTCAGTCTTGGCAATCCCTCGCGGCTGTTGGGGAAGGTTCACACAATTCAGCCGCACCTTTGCATTGCTATATATTCGAGCATCACTGGATCTGAAGAGATATTCCATCAGCCTGAAGGTGTGGTGCAACATGGTGGTGCTGCACCTGTTGCAATCTTCAGTCCCCACGCATCGCCACTCCTTCATCGCATCGCTGCGTCCGAGCCACGGAAGTGCTGTCAGGTGCCATGTCCATGGGCGTGGAGCCCTGCCGCACGAAGGAGGCGCGCTGCTCCACTGGGGCAATGCTTTCGAAGCTGCTTTCCAAGCTCCTTTGTAATTCCTGGGCTCGGAGAAGAGCCTGGTGTCTGTTGGTCTTTGATTATAACTCATAGGCCTGGTGTCTGTGAGAAGGGCCTGGCGTTCGGTCGACTCGTTGTCACCGATAATCGACCGATGGTTCAGGTGAATCGAGATGCGACTGTGCGACAGCTGAAGGATGGATGAAGTTCATGGTCCCAGTTCTAGGCCTTTAAACCATTGACAACCTCAAGGAAATCTGCTCAGCGTTTCCAACAGCGGGGAAAACGACCATGGTAAACTTGCTTTGTTGCTCATCCGTGAAACACAGGGATGGAGTGACCGTACGAGTTTGCACAGTTCTGAAATGTTCTGGAAGGGATATCTTAGATCCTAGGTGCCAACAAGTTGGTCTTGTTCTATCGCCATCCAGGCAGGTTGACCCACTGCCCTCAGTAGATGGAGATTGTAGCACACCGTCAGCACAGGTGGCCAAGGAGGCAGCAAACTTCTTCTGTTTGCCTCCCGAACTCATATTCTATATATATATATATGTATAACTCATCTGGTGCTTTGAGGGAAAGCAAGGAAAGCAGCGGCTGAGACTCAACTCAGAACTGTGTTTTCGAGGTTGCTTCCCCTTCCAAACCAGCCTGTAGAGAGTTTTTCTCTCTACCTTGCGATCTTCTTTTGCACCTTATTGGCAATAACTTATTGGCTGTATTTTTGGTGAGAGAAGTTCTTCATCCCTTGTAGCATCCGTGAAAAAAACCTCCTTAGCTTGGCTCTAACCGTGTTTCGTTCTTCTCACCTCCAAAGCAGTCCCAGTCCCTTCCGAAGTGAGAAGGTGACGAGATCGTGGCGTCTCCAAGGAAGGGCCCAGTCTCCTTTGCACGTGTGTGTTTTGGATGTGAAGAAACCCAAGGCGTTTGGCTTGGAAGCCCAACAAACAAACATCCGAACTACCCTCTCGTCTCCGAAGCTGTCTCTGCATCTCAAAAAAGGCTCATTCTCGCCAGACTTCTCGAGAGCGCCACTTCTCGCGCTTTCGGCACCTCAGTCCAAGAGCGGTCTTGTCTCACAAGGAACTGAGTGGGGGTGCTTTTGCCGAAAAGACTGCTTGGGCATCTGGTAGAGGTGATATGTCATGGAATCCGTCTTTCTTTATGATCAGTATAGATCTTGGACCATTGCAGCATGCATTTTCCACAGTTTTGGAGGGGTCAAAGACTTCAACCGCCGGCAGTGGTAGTGGAAGTTCGTCAGCTTGGTGGGCTTGACCTCCAAACATCTCTCGGGGGCTTCAGAAGACTTTATGCAAAAGGTCTCCGGGGCTGTTTCATCTCAGGAAAGGTCTCAGGTCACTCATGAAGACCAAAATTCCGGTGACCAAGAAAAAGATGCTCCGCTGAAAGATATCAGATGATCTCAGATGCGTGGCTGGGAACCAGCATGGCCAAAGGATGCATCTAGTATCATATTGTATCCTAATGCCATCTAGCTGCAAGCCAGCTATATCAAGCTATCGCATCCATAGAGTTCCCCTACAACATGCCAAAAGCATCCAAAAACATCCCAAAGACAAACAGTCATCTCTTCAGAGCTTTGTGCTTTCCTCATCTTCGAGGTGGCATTAAAAGAAATCAATCCGAATTGGACATCAATCAAACCAAGGCACGCGTTAAACGCTTATTGTCCGCGGGTGTGCCTGGTGCGCTCCCCAAATTGCTCGTGCTGCGGCTGAAGCGCTGCAGTCCAGGCTGACCTGCTATAGGCTTCTGGGTGGTTCGCTGGTCTTCGGCTGGACGACACACAGCCCCAAAGAGGTGAGAACCAAAACTCCGAAGCTCCAAAGAACGTGTGTGTGTGTGTCCACCCCTGGACAAAGGGTCTTCCACCACCACTCTT